ACTGGGATTAATCTATCAGGCCTGACTACACTGGGAACTTGTACTAGCTCATATAACAGTAGCACAGATGGTAAAATGTGCTGGTCTATTCTTATCTTCATTTAATCACAGAGTTCAATGCCTTCAGACAGTCCTAGTGTACGTGACATAAAGAATCAAAATTCCTATGTATTTATTTGTATTTTTCTTGTACTTATTATCTTGTCAGTCTGGAAGGGAAAACTGCAAATGGAAATTTCACTAATGTATTTCTATAAAGAATGAGGCAAGAATTAATTCAGTCTGCTACCTATTTCTCATCATGAACACAGCCTTTACAACACACTAGTGAATCCTCTTTAGCTATTCCAATTACTTTGAAATTAAGTTTAACATATAAAGGAAATATGTTAAAAATATAAAGGAAAATATTAGTGTTCAGAAGACCATCATATGACATTCAATGTGAGAGGCTCAAATTTTAAACTTCTTTTCCAATTTTAATCATACATTTAATTACATTGCCTGTAATCTTACAAATTAACCTATCGACTATTTTATTTTCCCTATATCCTTCCAGTTCTAATTGGTATGCATGTTTTATATTAGAATCATACTAACAGTTTATCTTGCCTATATCCTTAGTACTAGACTAGGCTGCAAGTGAAAATGAGAAATGCTGAAAATATGCCCCCCTTTTAAAGTTTTTTCAGGATAACTTTCATTTTCCTTCAAACTCTTCCCCTTTCCAAATAAACAAGCAACACGCAGAGAAGCACTATGCTGAGACATCAATTCTGCTTGCAACAGCTTTCCATATTCAGGTCGCAAGCATCACAAGGACTTCCCTCTGCATGCTCTCACTTAGGAGCATTCTATGATGGGACTTGGAAGCTAAAGTTAAAATATTTACTTATGTGTGCACACACATGTACACCTGAGTGTGGTGTATTTATGATCAGAAGACAGTACTGGATTCCCATGGACATGGAGTTCAGGCAATTATGAGCCACTATGTAGGTGCTGGGACCCAACTCATGTCTTTGGTAAGCACTGTGAACTGCTGAGATACCTCTCTAGCCCCAGAAAGTTACTACTTATGTAAAATATTTAAGTGATTCCTTAGGTTATTACTTTTAGCAAATATAGGCTGCAGCATGAATGGCCAACCCACTTTTTTTGAGAGCCATTTATATCTGAGTCTAATCATCTAAAGTGACCCAAGTGTATTTTTTTTGTACTTGTGGTTTATTTCTGGTCTTTTACGCTTTGGTCAAGCTTTCCCCTACACAAGGTCTGCCTTAACCTAACTGCCTTTTTCTCTTAGGTAGATTCATAAATAATCAGGTCTGTGTTCCTGATAGATTGGAAACTTGCTGTCTGGGTTTTCATGTGACATGCTAATTTAATATTTTAATTAGACTGTACAGGTAGAACATACTGTCTTCTGTAAGTTAAAAAACAAAGTTCAAAACACAAAATTTATTGGCTTATGTGGACAATACCAAAATACAGTTCCCAGATACAATTGTTTGAAAAAGTAAACAATAAACTATAGTCTTAAAAGAACTAATTTTCACCAGGCAGTGAAAATTAATTAAGGTGGTGCACTCCTTAAATCCTTGCACTCAGGAGGCAGAGTCAGGCAGATCTCTGTGAGTTTGAGGCCAGCCTGGTCTACAGAGTGAGTTCAAAGACAGCCAGAGCTGTTAATAGAGAAGCCAATAAATAAATAAATAAATGAAGAACTAATTTTCAAAGGTAGGCTTGGTAGCTCAATCTGCAATCCTAGCACTGAGGCAGGAGGACTGCCACAAGTTTAAGGCTAGCCTGGGCTATATGTACATGGCAAAACTATCTGAACACTGGCCACTATCTCAATAATTAATTTTCAAACAGAACGTGTTCTACCAAGGAGCTACACAACCATCCCTGCACACACATTAGACCATGGTTTATTTGACTCATTCCTTACTTTTAACATTTGGGTTGCTTCTAATCTTTTAACTATAAAACTAGTATTTTGTTCACTAAGCCATTCTCCCTGGCCCTGTTCTTAAGGTTCTTTTTATACATACTTTCAAAGGCCCTCTAGAAAGGCTGTTTATCTAAGTGTTTATTTTGCCATAACTCCAATACTAGGTATATACTGGCTTTAAAATATAGAAGATAAGACAACAAAGAGGAGGAAAAGTAGTTTTACAGTTACTTTTAAAAAGATGGAAATTGAAGTTATACTACTATCATTTTTTGTTTGTTTTTGAGACAGGATTTCTCTATGTGGCCTTGCCTGTCCTGGAACTCTCCATGTAGACAAGGTTAGCCTCAAACACACAAGAGACTCACCCACCTCCTGAGTTCTGAGATTAAAGGTGTGCACCACCACACCTGGGTTATCCTTATTTTTAAAACCAGGAGCTGAAACTAACGTAAGTAATGTGAATTGTTTAAGGTTATAGAATTAAGTACATTATTTCCACCATGGCCTATTTTGGGTTGGGCTTTGATTAGTGGTCTGCCTCAATGAAATATTAAGAAGGTTATAATGAATTTAAATGAAAGCTTTTCAGTTTTTTCATAAAAAGAACCAAGATGATAGATATAGTCCGAATCAAATTACATTTTCTTAAGTAGAAAGCAATATGCAGAAGGTAAATAACTTCCAAGCAAAAGCCAACTTACTGGGCTAATTTGAATGTAGCTGCCCCATAGACTCAGAGGGAGAAGCTCTATTAGGAGGTGCGGCCTTGTTGAAGTGGGTGTGGCCCTGTTGGAGAAGTGTGTCACTGTGGGAGTGGACTTTGAGGTCTCTAATGCTCACTTTATGCCTAGGTTCAGTCCACTTCCTGTTGCCTTCAGCTCAAGATGTAGCTCCTTTTCCACTAATGCTCAGCTACTCTCCACCACCAAATTTGCCTGCATGCCTCCATGTCCTGCCATGATGACAATGGACTAACCCTCTGAAACTATAAGGCACTCAAATGTTTTCCTTTATAAGAGTTGTCTTGGTCATGGTTTCTTCACAGCAACAGAAGCCCTAATTAAGACACTTAACATGTTTAATATCATTTATATGTAAAAAACTCAGTTTTAGGTTTCATCTCTCAACTAAAGAGAAATGAGGTTTTCAGTCCAGCCTAGTTATACAATTCAGGAGAATCTAAATTTAAGAACCATTTCTGGGGACTTAGATGGTTCAGTGATTAAGAGCACTGTTGCTCTTCCATAGGACCCTGGTTTGATTCTCAGCACTCACATGGCAGCTCACAACTATTTGTAACTCCAGTTTGTGAGGATCTGATGCCCTCTTCTGGACTCCACAGGCACTGCAGGCACATGCTGCACAGATATACAAACTGGCACATAAAATAAATAAATAAATGAATTTTTAAAGGAAAAAACAAAAAAAGAACCATCTCTTAGGCTGGGGAGATATTTCAGAAAACAGTGTTTCCTGTGCTGGTGTGAGGCTCAGTATCCAGATCCCCAGAAGCCATGCAGGGCCAGGAATAGCAGCATTTATCTGTGGTGATATAAATGAGAAAATGCCCCCATAGGATCATGTATTTAAATACTAGGTCCCCAGTTGGTAGAACTGTCTGGGAAGGATTAGGAGGTGTGGCATTGTTGGAGGAGTGTCAAGGAGGTGGGCTTTTCTACCCCATTCCTAGTTAGCTTTCTGTCTGTCTCCTACTTACAGATGTAAGCTCTGTTACTGCTTTGGCAGTATGCATTCCTGCCTGCTGCCATGTTCCTTGCTGTAATGGTCATGGACACTAACCCTCTGCAATTCTAAGCCAAATAAACTCTTTCTTTTATAAGTCCCCTTGGTAATGGAGTCTCTTCACAGCAATAGAAAAGCAACTAAGACACTAGTTCTCCTACCATAAGATAGAAGTGGAGGCAGGAGACTGCCTGTAAGCTCATGGGCTAGTGATCCTGGAGTATGTGGATACTAACAACAAGGATAACTTGTCTCAAACAAGGTGGAAGGCAAGGACTGGATGACACCAGAAGCTGTCCTCTGGCTTCCTCATGTGCACCCTGACATGCATTCCCCCTGGCATTCACATATTTGCATTCATATACACAAATTGTACATATACACATATTATTCACATATGCACACACATACACACCCCCCCCCAAAAAAAACAAAACAAACCCACAAATTATTTCTTCTCCTAATTTCAGGCTACTAACATGTAAACAATATTTAATGTGTCTAACTTTACAATCAAAATTAGTGGGGCTGGAGAGATGGCTCACTAGTTAAGAGTATCTGTTGCCCTTCCAGAGAACCCATTTGTTTCCTAGCAACCATGTCACAAGTACCTGTGACTCCAGCTCCAGATGACCTGACACTCTCTTTTGGCCTCCTTGGCTTTCTGCATGTACATGTGCATGTAACACAAGTAATACAAATATTTTAAAAAGGACAGTAGTGGTGCATACCTTTAATCCAAGCACTCAGGAGGCAGAGGCACACTGATCGTTGTGAGTTCAAGATCAGCCTGGTCTACATAGCGTATTCCAGGTCAGCCAAAGCTGCACAGTCAGACCCTGTCTCCACACAGCTATAATCTTAGCACTCAAGAGGTAGAGAATGAGCATCAGGAGTTCAAGGCGATGGCTACATAGTGAGTTTGGGACCAGTTTGGCTTTTATGAGACCTTGTTTTAAACAAACAAACAAAAACAAAAACCACAATAAAGTTCATAGAAACTTGGCTAGAAAAGTTAAACTCTATTTTAGAGCATTCAGATAATGAAGAGTTTCCCATTTATCACCTTCTAGGGGGAGGCAGGGAAGAGAGTGGGGTGCTAGGGACTGAACCCAAGATCTCATATACACGTGACAAGCAAAGCACTCCACCAGAGTTACACCACTAGCTCTATCATCCTATTTTGGGAATGTGTCTTAATCCACAAAAACTAAACTCAAGTACAACAAAAGAGTTCAGTTTAAATAAAAATTTACTTTATCTTTCCTTGTTTGACAAAATTTTGTCTAATGCTTACCTGAGCCATCAGTAGGAACTGAACTTGCATTGATTCCAGAAAGACCAAACAAAGGACATTCTCGATCTGTGTTCACATGACCCCACTTGTGACATTTAATACACCTTACATTTCGAACCTGAAAAATAAACAGTAGTTTGGTTCTCAAATACCAACAGCCTAACATTCAACTTAGCATTTTTATTTAGGTACCCCTCTCACTCCTTTTCTTTTTCTTTCTTGAGAAAGGGCCTCACTATAGCCCTTGCTGGTCTGGAACTTGCTATGTAGATCGGGTTGGCCTTGAACTCACAGAGATCCGCCCACTTTTGCTCCTAGAGTGAATACACCACCATACCTGGCTGTTCCTTTTTAAAAAGATCTCTTGGGAAAGAGATTCTATAACTATGGTGGGTAAGTCGATACAGATACTAAACTCTTCTACTATAAATTTGCCTAAAATCCAAGGTGAATCCTATCTATGCCTCCTATAATAAAACAATACCACCCAAAAAGAAATGGTAAAATATCACAACAAATTATGTCATGGTTTAATTTTAGGTTCTCTAATTTTAATGCATTCACCTAATACCCCAACCCCCCCTACACACACACACCCTTTATACATAGATAGGCTCCCTGGTGCAGCTCAAGCTGAGCTTTCAACCTTCATGTTGGAAATCCAGGCCTGTTTCCATACCAGCTACATCTCTCCAAATTGAAGCCAGGCCCTTACAACACACTGTAAAAGTGTTTTTTGGTTTTTTTGTTTGTTTTTTACTGAGCTATTCTCTCTAGCTTTGAAGTCTCAGATTTCTTTCTTTCTTTCTTTTTTAAAGATTTTATTTATTTATTATGTATACAACATTCTGTTTGCATGTATATCTGCACACCAAAAGAGGGCACCAGATCTCATTACAGATGGTTGTGAGCCACTATGTGGTTGCTGGGAATTGAACTCAGGACCTCTGGAAGAGCAGTCAGTGCTCTTAACCTCTGAGCCATCTCTCCAGCCCCAAAGTCTCAAGATTTCTAAACGAGGGGTTAGCAAACTTATTCTATGAAATAAAAACGGTACTTTAACTTTCTTATTTTATGTTTGTGTATGTTACACCTACTCGACCCTACTGTTGTGACAGGCGACGTGTCAGAAGAGCTGCCATAGACAATGCACAGGTGACTAAGGCAATGTTTTTCACAAGGATCATTCCTGGAGTGACAATTGACTGATTCTAAATCAGTAACATTTTTAACATCTTTTCTTGACCTCGAGTTAGTGACCACATCATTATCCTTCACTAGAAAACTTGATTCTCATCTTCCATCTGTCTACTACATTTCGTGTTTTCTCCTCATTCGAATCATTTCATATAAATATAAACCAAAGTTGTTTTAGCTTAAACACGGTGATGCTAATCTTGGCTTGGCAACCTGACTACATCTGGAATCAACTAAAACCCAAGCTGGCAGACAGTCCTGTGTGGTGGTTTTAAAGAAAATGGTCCCCACAGGCTCACAGGGCATGGTGCTATTAGGAGGTGTGGCCTTGCTGGAGTAGGTGTGGTGGTGTTGGAGGAAGTGTGTCACTGGGGCAGGCTCTGAGGCTTTAGATGTTCCTTCCATTTGGCCCAATGTGGCTCACTGTCTCTTCTTGATACCCGGGGATCCAGATGTAGAACTCTCAGCTTCTCCCCCTGCACCATGCCTGCCTGTGTGCCACCATACTTCCCGCCATGATGATAATGGATTAAACTTCTGGCCTCAAAGCCAGCCCCAATTAAATGTTCTTTGTAAGAGTTGTTATGGTTATGGCATCTCTTCACAGCAACAAAACCCTACTTAAGACACTCCTGTGAGAGATTTTCTTGATCAGAATTTGAAATCTGGCCACACTTTCTGGTGACAGCCCACATAAACAGAACTCGAAGAAGGAAGCTTCACTTTTTGCCTGTTTGCTCTCTCTCACTGGCAAGCTCAAGCTCCTCTATCTATTCTGTTGCTGCTAATATTAAATCCAACTTCTTCAAGATTTCAATGTAGGCCAAAGACTACCAGCTCTGCAGGAATCCTTCTGAGACAACCAGCCTTGTGGACTGAACAGATACTGGATTCTCAGCCTTTCCATCATGAGACAGCCACTGTTGGACTGCCCAAACCAAACCCAACCACGTCCTCTAGGCTAGATCATAAACCACCCTTTAATATCTATATTCATCCTATCAGTTCTGTTCCTCTAGAGAACTCTAATACAAATACCTTTTGGAAAATAATGTAAAGATATAAGTACTAAATAAAAATTATTCTTGGAGAGTAAAATAAGTGTCACTTGCCTGAATACCAAAGGGCTGGTCTCTGATGTTCATGTCATCTTTGGCATATCTGTTAAGTACAAAAAAATGTAAGACTATGGTATTAAAAGAACAATTCAATGCCAGTTAACCTGAAAAATGTTTATTGTTCTTAAAACATTATAAAAATTCATTACTACTATAAAAATATAAAACAACCATCAATTTTTAAGTGTTTATAACAGTGGTTCTCAACCTTCCTAATGCTTCAACCCTTTAATACAGTTCCTCATATTGTGGCGATTTCCCCAACCATAAAACTATCTTCATTGCTACTTTCCAACTGCAATTTTGCTACTGTTACGAATCCTAATGTAAATACATCTGTGTTTTCAATGGTCCTTTGAAGGTGGCAACTCACAGGTTGAGAACCACTGGTCTACATAGTCTGATTGTGTAGAGTTTTAAAAAGCAAACAAGTTCTCGAATCAAGGCCAGAATGAAGCATGCTGTCTGTCTGCGGTAAGTCAGTTAGTTACTGCCCTGGTCAATGAACCAAGAGGCAGGAAGGACTGCAGACATGATACAAACATGTTTTCTCTAGTAACAAACCAGTGCTTACTTTTCTCTTGGAGCACCTTTCTGCCATTCAAACTTGTATTCCGTCTCTCCTTCTGTTTCTTCTTTCTACAAGAGTTAGTAAAAATTCTTTAATTTTCCATAAAATCGCAGTCAACCATATATCAATTCAAACAGAGAAGAGTACTTACCTCTTTGTTTTCTTGATTGTATGTTCAAAGCAGAGGGAGAAGCAGGACAAGTTAGCAATGTCAGTGGAAAAAGTCTACTACTTATTATGCTGTATTACTTAACCGTAACCTGTAAGGATCAACTAGTTTTTCTTTTATCATAAGATATAACTCCAAATGACTGAAGGATAAAATACACTAGAGTCCAGAATAGGTATCATGATTTTTAAGCATTTATGTTTTTCACGGGCAGTGAATAGACTTTCCATTTGAAAATGTATTTAGTAAGGATTACAGCTATGTGTACATTATAAAAGGATGAATATACTTCTGCAATATTGAACATTTCCCTCCCACAAAGGACATAAGCCACATTAGGAAAATATTTTGTGTTTATTCTACCATGAGATGACAGCATTTGAGCTGATATCATCACAGAGTAACATCAATGGGAAAGGCAAAGAATAACCTTTAAAATCCTGTTTGCTCTTCTCAACCTTCATACATACCCACATTAAAGCTTAAAGGAAACAAGGCAAGTACCTTTTTTAACTCCTGGTGGGGCCTCATACATGAAATTCAGGCCGTTCTTTACACGCTCATCTCCCATAAGCAATCTAAATGAAATAACGGTACAATTTTAAACAAAAGGAAGAGCATGATAGCATAACATCTCTCAAAGAATAACCCTAAAATAATGAAGATATTTTTATTAGTGATAAAGCCCAAAAAGTGCTGTCTTATTAGGAACTTGATGTAACTTTTCGGCTTCCTTCTTCCCTCTAGCTCTCCCAATGAGAAAGGAAAAAAGATGGCATGGTTACTCTTACAGAATTTTCTTAATCACTATGAAATGCTGCCGAAATAGTTTTGAAATCCTATGTGCTATCATATATTTTGGTGCCACAACCTTTTCTTTTTAAAGTGATTTTATATCTTTTCATCTTGGTTTTTCCAGACAGGGTTTCTCTGTGTAGCCATGGCTGTCCTGGAACTCACTCTGTAGACCAGACTGGCCTCCAACTCAGAGAGATCTGCCTGCCTCTGCCTCCAGACTGCTGGGATTAAAGGTGCACACCACCGCCACCACCAGCTATTTTAGTATTTTTAATTGTGTGTGTGTGTGTGTGTGTGTGTGTGTGTGTGTGTGTGTGAGAGAGAGAGAGAGAGAGAGAGAGAGAGAGAGAGAGAGAGCGCACGCACATGCATGTGGAGGTCAGAGGTGAAGTAGGGTGTTTTTCTCAACTATTCACCTTATTTTTAATTAATTATTATGTGTGATGTGTGTAGAAGCATGTTTGCATGCATGTAGACTGTTTTCTGCTTCTACCTCTATGTGGGTCTTACGGATTGCATTCACCTTTACTCATCTGGCCAGCCCTCCACCTTACTTTTTAGACACGGTCTCTTACTAAATCTGCGGCTCAATGATTGGACTAAATAGCTAGCTAGCAAGGGCCAGGGATCTTCCTGTTTCTATCTCTGTAACATTGGGATCACAGGCAAGCACTAACCATCTGGCTTTTTATGTGGGGGTTTAGAATCCAAACTCAGGTCCTCTTACTTTCATGACAAACACTACAAGCTGAGCTAACTCCTAGGCCCTAAGAACCAATTTTTTCTTTTTCTGAAAACAAGGAAAAAAATTAACAAAATTCTGCAATTGGCTAATATACTGAAGGCAGAAATGACTATTACTCAAAAAATCTTAGGTAGTGACTGAAACTTCTGTTGTAGGTTCTGTGTACAGTGTGCTGCTGTTGGGTTTCTTAGGTAAAAGGCCCACAACAAACAGGATGGCTACACCAACTTAATGTTAAGTCTGTAAAATCCAAGTTAAATATTAGCAAAAGCTAAAGTGTAAGTAAGAAACGTCTTTGTATTTGGAAAAGGCAATCACAAAGGATATGCTATACATTATTGTAAGCAAATCTCAGTTTTTCTCTATTGGACTCTATACTCCCAGTTCTCCCCCCCCAAAAAAAAACCCAAAAACCAAAAAACAAAACAAAAGGACATATAAATATATATCTTTATTGTGGAACATTATTCTTTAATTAAAAGGAATGTGTACTAATGTATGTGGTAGATTACCTTCAAAAATATGCTAAATGAAAGAAATCAGGGGCCAGTCACATGTCTCAGTGGCCAAAGCTGCCGCCACCCAAGCTTACCGGCCTGAGTTCAATCCCTGGGACCCACACAGTGAAAAGAGAGAACTGCCTCTGACTCTCACATGTGCACCAAGGTCCTCATATGCCACATACATACATACATACATACATACATACATACATACATATATATATAAGTAAATACACACACACACACACATATATACATATATATATATATAGACATACATACATACATATTCGAGACAGGGTTTCTCTGTGTAGCTTTGGAGCCTATCCTAGCCCTCACTCTGTAGACCAGACTGGCCTCAAACTCACAGAGATCAACCTTCCTCTGCCTCCCAAGTGCAGGGATTAAAAGCATGAGCCACCACTGCCTGGCCTAAGAAAATATATTTTTAAAAATTTAAAAAATTAGCCAGTCGTGAAAGCCCTTGACACTGGGCACACACTCTGGTGCTAGTTGACACTCCTCAACTATCTCCCAAAGCCCAAGAGGCTAATGCAGTTAGCATGAAGTATGCCCGGGGCACTGCAAGCAGGGCAAGATAAAAGCTCTCCTGGTGTGGGCAAGCAAGATGGCTCAGCGGGTAAAGGTGCTTACCACCAACCCTGAGAATCTGAGTTTGTTCCTTGGGACCCACATGGAGAGACTTGACTATTGAAAGTTGCCCTCTGACCTCCACTCATGCCCCACCCACAGGCACAAACTGACTAAATAAACAAATAAATAAGTGTAACTTTTAAATGTAAAGAAAAAAAGTCACAAAAGACCATTTTATCATCTGCCTTATGAGTCCATAACTCCACAAAAATTCATAGGTATAAAATGGTGATGACTTGTGAAAGGCAGAAATAGGATAAATTAGGAAATGGGGAATGACTACTAATGAATACAGTTCCTTTTCAAGTGATGAAATGTTTTGAAATTCGATATGGTGATGGCTTAGCAACACCAAACAAATTAAAAAACCCATGTATATTGGACATTATATGTATATTAAACAGATGTGTAAATTTTGTCTTAGCACCATTTAAAAATTATAAATCAAGTACATGAAACACTGAGCTTTATTAGAAATGGAGAAATAGAAATCAAACTACAAGTCACCACCTCATACTTATCAGCATGGTTATTACTAAATGAGCTGAGATGTAACCCAGTTGGCAGAGGCAGAGTGCTGGCCTGACACAGCAAGCCCTGGGTTTGACTCCCACCATCACATACACTGGGTACAGTGGCACATGCCAGCATTTGGGAGTTCAACTTCACAGGAAGTTCAAGATCAGCTCAGGCTATGGAAAAGTTTGGTGGTTCTTTAAAAAACTAAAAAAGGATTACCTTGAGATCTAGAAGTTCTGCTCCTAAGCACATACACAAAGCAACTGAAAACAGTCTTGAACAGATATCGATATGCTAATGTTAATAGCGTGATCCAAATACCCATAAACTGATGAATGTCTCAAGTTTCCAATGTAAATGTTTCAAAAACAAATGTTTCGGAGCACAGTCTATATAACCAAAACACCACTACTCAATTAACCAAATACAAGCACATTGAAAGCAGCTAAAGGCATGTACCATCCTGGAAGAAGCTAATGGACTCTAGCCACAGCGCACAGACACCCGGCTTTTCTCTTCTAAGTGTCCTGAGTATCTTTCACTCCAGTGTATTTAAAAGAAACCTTTCTAATCAGGCTTAGTAGTTAACATGCAGAGCTTATTATTTCTGCAAGCTGTCTCATGTGGGACTTGCTAACAGTCTGGATGACTCAATGAAGCTGTGTTTTATGTAAAGAATAGGTAAATTTGGAAAAGGTGACCATGTATAATTATGGCAGAGAAGCTGACTCAATATTGCAAATGATTATACTAAAAACACTGAAAAGGTGGCACTTACCTGTTATCATACGACTCTTGTTCTTTAAGGTACTGTTGCATTAGTTCTTCTTGTTTCTTTTTATCATATGATATTTTCTGTTCTGCCATCCATACCTATATTAGTGAAACAAAATATAATTTAACAACTGAATTAAATAAGAAGTCTGTTTTGTGTGTATATACATTCGTGTCTGCATGTATGTACTATGTGCCTGTGAGTATGGAGTACAGGGTTTAAAACAAATTATCTTCCCCAGTCACTTTCCACTTGACTTATTGTAACAGGGTCTCACTGAACCCAGAGTTCAACAATTATACTAGTATAGCTACCAACTTGCATGAAGATCTCCTGTCTCCATCCCGAAGGTGAAGATCACAAATGGGCCACTATTATTTTATGTGGGTACTGGGAAACCAAATTCTAACCTCACACTTGTGCATCAAGCACTTTATCCACTAAGCCATCTTGATAGTCCTGGAAGCTCCATTGTCTTCTATAATCAACCACACATGGTTAGCCAGGCATGCTGGTGCATGTCTGCAATCCCAGAACTCAGGAGGCTGAGGTAGGACTACTAAGAGTTCCAGGCCAGCCAGAGCTACACAGTGAGATCTTGTCTGAAAAAAAAACAGCCCCCTCCCACACACACAAAAGAGAAATTACCGTGTATCTCAAGCTTTATATTTCACTGTTATTTAAATAGTCTCAATTGCTCAAGAACTTATATTCCATTAACTGAAATAAAAATAAAACACAGGTCCATTGCCAGAGCACTCATAGGATTCTTCTGCACATTATAAACTATTTCACGATTTAAGAAGGAGATACAAAAGTCAAGTGCAGTGGCTTAAACCTGTCATCCCAGCATTTGGGAGGCAGAGACAAGAAGATCAGGGGTTCAGGGCCATTCACCCTCGATAGCAAGAGGAGACCCCAACTCAAAAAAGAGACCATGAAAAGTGTAAAAGACATGTGGACAATAGGAGTATGGACAAAATAAACAGAACAAGGGGGGAGGTCAAGGGATAAGGCAGAGATTGAAATACCTAGCAAGATTCTGGGGGGCAGGGAGTGACTTAAAATTATGTAGCATGTTTTTAATCCTAGCACTTGGGAGGCAGAGGCAGGTGAATCTCTATGAGTTCGAGGACAGCCTGGTCTACACAGAGAAAACCTGTCTCAAAGAAAAAATGAAGTAACTATATTTACAAATAACTCGTGTTAGCACTTCTTGTATTTTCTTCCACAGATATTCTAATGCACATGTACGCTTATTTTTACATAACATGGTAACATACAGGACTCACGACTGGCTTAGAAACAACTAAAAGCTCAATATATTCTCACAAGCTTGTGTGTACTTTCTGAGTATTTTCCGTGATGCACAGTGCTAAGCCTTCATTTCCCGTTTCTATTCTTTCCCCCACACTATCTCATTTAATCTTCCTGACAATTTTACACATTAGGGCAACCGACACTGTCATTTTTAATTAGTAAAGTAGGAGGCTGAAGATAATGACATTAAACATTTTGTGCGAGGCCTCAAGGCTAAACGTGACTGTCCTGATCTATCAAGAATCCTGGTCTGAGCCCAAGGCTACGACACTCCCCGTCGCCATTCTTCCGCCGTAATTCTCTCCTCTGTCCTGTGTCCAGCACTTGGTTGAGCTGTAATTTTTTTTTTTTAAACGCTGAACTTGAATGCGGCCATCAGACACGACCCTACGGGATGCAGATGTGGGATGGGTAGTGAAAGCAGGGGTGGTTTTCCCTTGAGAGACCTGTTTAAGCGGTGAGTCTTCACACAGGGAAGCAGAGCTTACGGGTCTCGTCTTAGGGCTCTGGGATTCGGACCCGGAATCCACCCCGACTGACAGGGCCGGACTTTGGGGACCACTCGGTATGTGGGGTTAGCACGGAGAACGGGGCGACGTCTCCAGGCCTGCGGAGGACACAACTGTCCCAGGGAGCTCGGCACCTCGCTGCCCTCTCCGGATCCCTTCACTCACCTTCTTGATGTTGGATTTGGACGCAGGATGGAAGTCCTTTTTGCACATGAAATTAGCGAACGACTTCCCCATCTTGGAGTCCGAGAGGGAGAAGCCCGCCGCTGGGTCTGCGAGGAACGTAAACAAACTCCGGGAGCGTCACCGGAACTGTAAGGAGAGCATAAGCGAGGACTTCCGATGTCGAAGGTGGCTACTTCCGACGATTAGCTCCTGGGCCCGCCCCTTCGCTTCCGGCGATTGCTTTTGGTAGCGGCGGAGGCTAACCCGGCGTCCGCGCGTGCGCAGCTGAGGTAAGCCGAATTCTGCGCGAGCCTCGCGCGGTGCGGGGCCGCTGTGGGCTCTGCGCGCCAGCTTCGCTCCGAGCGCAGGCATCGCAGAGCAGCCGAGGTCTTGAAATTGGAGCCCAGCACTTACTGGAAACTTCGATTCCAGTTGCAAATACTTAAAAAAAAATATTTTTTTTGGAGCTTAGTTTCCATGTAGTTTATGGAGACAGTAACAAGCCTCGCGGCGACTGTAGGACGTTTGTGAGACTCAAAAGATTGGTGTTGTCGAAAGCACTGAATACACTGTTGGCGCCTCAAGAAGCGAGGCTGTTCCCTTCCGGTTGTTATGTTTTTTTGAGGCACGGTCTTACTCTCTAGCATTGGCTTGAACTAAGTAGACCAGGCCGGCCTGGAACTCACAGATCATCCTGCCTCTGCCTCCCGAGAGCTGGGAATAAAGGCGTGAGCCACGACATACAGCTTCTTCGGTTATTTCCAGCCATGCAGAGAGAAGTTCAACAAACATCGTGAATGATGAAAACACGTTAGGGCCAAGGGCTTTCCTCTCCGGGTGCTGATCTCTTAGTTGCTGCCGCTATCCCAGAGAGCGAGCCACTCGCAGCGGCTGGGTGGTCCTAGGGTGTGGTCTGGGTGTGGCTGTTAGTCTTCTAGCAAGGATAAGTATAAACCAGCTTAAAACCAGTGACAGCTTTCGCTTGAGGGTCAAATGTGTTCCAGGTAATTTTGTCATGTCTTACTTGTGACCCGGTCCATGTATCCATCAAACTTGGATACACGCATGCACCCCCAAGCCGGGCTTTCCCTTGCAGGGTCATACTGAGTCAATCCTCAAAGCAGCACTATTAGATGGTGTTTTATTTTATTTTACGGATGAGCCTGGAAGAAAAGAGGACGAGAATAAATAGCCTCCCTATGTTAGTACTAAGGTAGCTAACTTTGGGCACTGTAAATGGGAAATCAGAACTTTCAGAGAGCCTCCTGAAAAGGCACAAAAGAAAAACAGGGTCACTTTTTCCCATCTTGAGAAGAGAAGAACCTTCAAGGTGTTCCATGGTGAACTTGTTTCCTGAGTCACGTTGTTCGTTTTGAAATGGGGTTTCACTATGCTGTTCTTGAATTATGTAGCACAGGCTAGAGCTTTAAACTCTAGCTCATCCTGCCAATGCTGAGATTACCATACCCTGCTTCGTTTTCCTTTCAGTAAATATTAATTTATGTTTATTTTATTCATATTCATTATATTTTTGTTCTGTTTTAAAATGGCAGTATGTTCGTGTATAAAACTATGCTAAAATTTGGTCTTATTAAAAAAGGAAACTGGGCTGGAGTGATAGCTGAGCGATTAAAGATAACTCACCACTTTTCCTGAAGACTTAAATTCAGTTACCAACACGCACTTGAGATGCCTCACAACCTCCTATAACTCCAGCTTCAGGGGGTTTGATGCCGGATTCTGAATTAATTAAACACCCCCATAGTTATGGCAGACAGACAGACACATACATACATGCACATAAATAGTAAAAATAAATTTTAAGAAATTAAAAATAAAAGCAGGGAACTAAAACTATGTTCTGAAAGCAAAATAAAAATATAGGATCTTGAATTGTTCTAAAAATGAGGATTTAAGATAAAGACAATTTATATGTCAGTTCTACAACCAAAATTTATAAATTACAAATATGAATGTTCTACCTGGAAACCTTAACAGTTGGGATTTTGTTTGTTTTCTGTTTTTTTTTTTT